ATTGACCCTACAGAATGTTTTATATGTCCCAATTATTCATTTTTGACAGTTGATATATAAAACGTTATATTTTGTGAGAACAGGGTAGTGGATGAACACCAATTCAATGGTAAGTGAGAAAGAGGTTAATATGTAAAAAAATTCTTATTCATCTAGGATGAAAATAACGCTATATAAGAGCGTCTGGATTGGGGTCTTTAATTTCTGTATTCTTTAATTATTAGGGTATTATTTTTTATCTTTAAAAATGATGCAAAAGTCTCAAGAAAATGATTGTACTATTTTTTTTTCTGCAATTATATGATTTCTTTATTCTGTATATCGTTCATTTCTGTAATCTGTATTATATAACATAATTCTTTTATTTTCCACAATTCTCCTTTATACTTTTGCCCCCAATTATTTTCTATTCTTTATTTTTTTGTCTCATTTTTCTCTAACTTACTCATTGTATTATTTGGCCATTATTCTCTATTCTGTGAACCCAATCCTTACTCTCATAAATAATGCGACCAACGCGCTTTTCTGGATTTACCTTCACAAGAAACGTCGAAACCGACGAAGTAGAAAGCCAATGAATTGTTATTACCTAAATATGTGAAGAGTTAAATGACCAAATAGGGACACATAGGACATAGGGATAAACAGTTAAGTCAAATTCATAAAGGTAAAAGAGAGGCGAAAGATACCAGAGGGGCATTCAAACTCATAAGTCGAAAACAAACTGACAACGCCATGGCTTAAACAGAAAAAGACCAACAGACAAACAATAGTACAAACACACAACATAGAAAACTAAAGACTGAGCAACACGAACCCAACCAAAAACTGGGAGTAAACTTTGCTTGTGGAAGTTGAACCACCTTTAGTTAGTTTCTTAATAAAAACGAAGAATTTAAGAAAAGTAAGTTATAAATCATGTCAATACAGAAACACTGACTGCTGTGGTGATGTTATCACCCTCTGAAAATACCAGTCCACCAATAGTGGTATCAACCACGTGCTAGAAAATGTTAATACCGCTATCTAAATTTAGTGATTTCAAAGCGCTTTTTTTCATTTACCTTCACCAGGAACAATCGACCCCCCTACCCCACTTTAAAATAAAAAAGAGAGCCTGGGGATATATAAATTCATAAAGTAAATATAAATAAATCAAATGATAGTGAAAAATGTCCTGATGAGAACCACACTGATTGAAAATTTAAAGAAGAAAACAACAACAACAATACTTTATTTCAAAGGGATGCACAGTTAGCTATATAACTAATCTTCCCTGAAAATTATAAACAAAAAATCGTCAAATACTGACAATGCAAACAAATACATGACATAAATTAGCATAAACGTCAAGTATAATAATCAATGTTCAATACAACTGCATAAAATGTTATGACAAAATAAACATGATAAAATAATTAATATTTATATTTTATTCTCTGTTCAACTATCATCCACTTTAAATGTTTGAATAAGGGTTCAGAAGGAGCGAAAGGGTCTGTATAGTATCATTGTAGCAACTTTCTGTTTTAATTTTTTTTTTAATGTTTGTAATTTTTAAATCCTATTTAAACCCTCACTGCTACAACTATTCCACACTATACAACAATAATCAATAAGTGGTAAGATGTAACCATTATAAAATAATTTCCTGCAGTCTAGATTTAGAAATTTCTTAATCTTTGATAGTAGATATATCCTAGATGAAATTTCTGAGCAGATCAAATCAATTTGGTTTGTCCATGTGAGGAAGGGTCAATTTAAATCAATGCCTAAGAGACTTTCACATGTGGAGGGTTTTATCACTTGATTGTTAATAGTTAAACGACTTCCACTGTAATGTGGTATCAGAGGCGGATTTAGGGGGGGGGGGTGGGTGGGGGCAGGGGGAAATATTTGGTTGATTATATAGGGAATCACTGAAGCATGACTGGAGCGGGCCCCCTCTTAGGCAGTCAGTGGGCCCCCACTTATGAAAATTGCTGGATTCGCCACTGGGCATTGCTTTTTGCTTTGTTCCAATAATCAGATATTTTGTTTTAATTTCAAGTATAATCATATACTGTCATCATTGCACCATTTCTCAACGCAATGCTAATCTTCTTGTACCGTTGACTGCAGATTTGATAACAATTATCAGAATGATGCATGTAAACAGGTAACGTTGAATCATCAGCATACAAGTCAGTGCAACACTTTTTCATATAGATAGGTTTTATCCATCACACGGATACACAAATAATCGTTGGCTCTTCTGTTTTATGACATTTTCTAAAATAATCATACGCCATTGCTTTACATTTTTATAAATTATTGTTACGGAATTGATTAAAAGCTTAAAAATGGTATACATAGATATAAGAAGATATGGTATGAGTGCCAATGAGACAACTCTCCATCCAAGTCAAATTTATAAAAATAAACCATTATAGGTCAAAGTACGGTCTTCAACACGGAGCCTTGGCTCACACCGCACAGCAAGCTATAAAGGGCCCAAAAATTACTAGTGTAAAACCATTCAAATGGGAAAACCAACGGTCTAATCTTTATAAAAGACGAGAAACGAGAAACACTTATGAACCACATCAACAAACGACAACAACTGAACATCAGATTCCTGACTTAGGACAGGTGCAAACAATTGCAGCGGGTTTAAACGTTTTATCAGTACCAAACCTTCACCCTTATCTGAAACAATAGTCTAACATCACAACATAGAAAGACACACTATAAAATATCAATTGAAATGGATTAACTCAATCAAAAGACATATTAACAAAAGTGCACATACACTGAACGAATAAATTTGATCTATGATACAATGTATTACTAAATACAAAATCAATAAAATAAGGGATGAATAATTAAAGTAACAGTATAACCATGTTTCCCATAAATAGCACATTGTCAAGCCGTTTATGGTTCGATTTTTATAACCAGATGTGGAAGAACGCGCCATTGTCAGCAGTTCTTATTTATTAGTAATATGTTTGTCTTCAGATGTTTTTGTACTCTGCAGTAAACACTTTATAATTATTTTAAAATAACCAAAATCTAGTCTAAAATTATATAAAATTATCCGCCATAAAATTATACTTGTGTGGTTACATTCTCGGCAAATGGAAACGTTTCAAAAACGTTACAAAATTACAGCAAAATTAATATTAAACCGAACAAAGAACATATAGTGATACCAAGGGGATTAAAATTCTAATCAGAAATGAAAAATGCAAAAGTAAAGAATTCTAATATCCATGCAATGTTTTTTTTTCTTGTGTAATGATCGGAAGGAAATAAATTGCACAAAAATAAACACGTGTAAAAGAATACGTAGTATGTAGATACATTTCTGGTGAATTTATCATTCTGCACACTTCGGCAGATAGAGTACCGGAATCTACCGAAGTTTGTCGATTGGTATTTTTATATTGTTCTTCTTGTTTGGTTGCTGTGTCATCAACTGAACATTGCCTTACAGGACATGACCTTGAAATTAATCTAACAAACAAATATTTGAATGGATTTATTCCACATCTTTCCGTTTTTGTTCGGTTCAATCTCTTTCGTATTTAGTAAAGTGATTTGAGCATTTTTTTCTTCTTCGTCTTTTCTCGTTTGGACATGATGTTGTCTTTTGGTCAATTTATAATTTTGGTTGCGCCCTTGTTATCGACTTGACACAGAAATATCTATCCTGAATTAAAGAAAGGTTGGAGGGGGAGGGTCTCTATCTCTTTATTCTTTAATGCCGGCCGTTTTCTGTATTCTTTGTTATATTTTTGACAAATAATTTTTTATTATATATTTTCGCACTCTATTATTCTCTATTCTTTATTGCTTGTCCATTATACTGTATTCTGATTACCCCATCCAAACCCTCATGAACACATTTTTTAGTTTTATATAGATCAAAACTTTACTTTTCTTCTAGAATACATGGAACCAAGTCTGGCTTTAATGGAAAAGTCTAGTATCTATTGCTGCGTGTTTTTATTTTTTGTCATGCTACAAAATTAAATATGTTCTATGTAGTTAAGGGAATAGGGAGATGGACAGTTATACAATACAATAGCTGAATATTATGTAACCGATGTCATGCCCTAGGAAAACGTTTAATACATCCTTATTAAGAATGAATTAGATCCGGTTTAATATTCAAGCGTTGTCATAGTGATCTGCATTGACTACATTCATCATGTTTTACATATTATGAACAATCTTAACAATTTGTGTAACTTATTGAAATTTATCTTCTTTAAATACCAATAACATGCATATATGAAAAATAAAAATGTGTTAATCATGAGATAAACATATATTTACTACCGTATGTCCTGGGGTGCTTCTCATATAAGAAAACTTCTGTATCACGTTATTTGTACAGTGGTATTATACAACGTTTACGTAAAGTTGTTCAAGGACATGATCTTAGTAACTTTAGGAACTTTTCAAACATCAGTTTATGCAACTTTGGTCAACCTTCTTACGTCTGTAAGTAATTACAAAATGTATACGCAAGGCATTTTCAAAACAATATTTTCTGTAGAATTATTATTTCTATATTTAAACAAGTTTGATGATTATTTACGTATTTTTTTTCCAGGCTTTAAAGGTAACCGTTTCATTGAATTTTGTTTGCACTTCATTAATAATTTTGAAAATATTTTAGCTTCTCAATGTGTCTGTCCGAAGTCAGGAGCCTATAATTCAACGGACGCCGTAGGTTGCTGTCTTTCAATATTTGTTTTTTGTTAATTATATGTCATAAACCATGCCATTGTTTTTATCGTTTGAGTTACTTCACATTTTGTCATGTCGGTTTTTTTTAGCTGATTATACTGTATTGGGTATGCTCATTGTTGAAGGTTTTATTGTATCTTATACAGGTTGTTGCATACAACCCCAGCTTGGTCTCTGATGGATAGTCTTCTCATGGGCAATCATATCACATCTCTTTATTAGTTTTTCCTATTTCCTAATCCATATTTGTTTTAAAGGTACCAAAGAAAAATGACTAAAAGTATCAAAGATGAGAACAACAGTGCAACAAACCATATTACAAATAATGAAGGTGTATGTGGAACGAGATTCTCGCAGCAGACGTGTCTTCAGAAATGCCACAATATAACTGTATATTCTGTAATGTATGGATTAACTGTACTGATGACCAATGCTCTTACTGTCTACATATCATCCCAGATCACCACACTCGAGAGACAGTTTGATTTATCGAGTTCACAGAGTGGATTCATACTCAGCTGTAACGATATTGGATTTACTTTGACTGTTCTATTCGTCAGCCATTTTGGAATCAGGTACCTGTTAGATATAGTTTCCTTTACCGACAAAATCTCAAACTAAAGTTATATCTATGACAAAATTAACGGTACACATTTTACTGCAACAGGCACGAATTTCGACAATTATTGTTTCTTTGATAATACGCGAGACCAAATATTTGAAAGTCCAAAACTTAAAACAAACGACAAAGAGCTTATAACACCAAAAAAATAAATTATGACTCTAACAATTCATTTGTCATGCCAGTCTATATTACACCCGTTTTGCTTACACGAGTGGGCATATTTTATAACAGTGACAATGAACAGACCATACAAGGTAATTTATCGTCCTTTCCTGCGCGAATATCACCCTGTTCAGGTGCTCCATTATTCATGTATCACAGCTTTGAGACGCGAGCAGAACTTATTAGCAACGTCACAATCTCAGGGGAGAAGTCACAACGTGTGAGGAGACGGTATCAAGCTTAATTTTGTGAAGCGTAAAACTGGGGAAAAGATCAGAAAAAGTACGAAATTATCGGCTTTATTGCGTGAAAATATAGGAATAAATCAACCGCTCGATTCAATGTAAAGTTTTTTTTTATCGTTCGCCGAGCTCACTCGCCAAAAAGATTCACATTTTGACTCGATGATCTAAACACATCGTCAGTGTATAAAATATCACACCCACTTGCTTTCCATATTTAGGCAAAATCAGCAACAAGTCTTACTTATTTAATACACGTGGAAATATTTTAAAATAAAGAAAACTATGAGTTTCATATATTTTTTGTTGCAAATTTGGCACATCATGTAACTTCTATGCTACTAGTATCAAATAAGGATACGTACTTAAACTTTTCATGCAGATATTTATCTAAAACAAGAAATTTACAGGTATAACTAAAAAATAAAATCCCAATGTATTAAAATAGGATTTCAAATCAACAAATAATTCCTACCAACAAAGCACCACAACGTTCTATAATGAAAATAAAACAAGTGAATACGAACGAAACTATATCGCATTAACAAATTTTAACCGAATTCGGTAAGCACACGTTATTCTTAATACTCAATAAACACGAAAATTGAAAATAGACATCTTAATTCAACTCACAACATGACACGACTCTGCTATTGTCTTCTTATGAAGTACTGTTTAAAATGGACAGATGTTTACTTTTATGTGAAAATAGAACGATAATGACACGTAGAACAATCGTGAATTAAACCTTCATGTTGCGTGGTTAAACCTATTGCCTTATTTTTTGACAGATTTCACATACCACGTGTTTTGTCACTATTTACAATTATATATGGACTGTCTGGTGTATCAACAAGTTTCCTTAGATTTTTATCGGACCATGGGATTCCAAGTGATGACGACAACTCCATTTCACAAAGAAACAAAACTTCTAACTTGTTATGCATTATAAACCGAAATACAACACTAGACTGTATAACAGAGGGACATGAAGACTCTTCCGGATCTATTTATAGAATGAAAGTTGCATTTATACTTTTGTGTATATTTATGGGGATACAAGGTCTTGGAAAAGCCCCCAGAAGTTCCCTTGGAACATTTTACATTGACAGTAATGTGCCTGATAAAACGAGGACCGGATTTTATTTAGGTAGGATCGATACACAGATTAGTTTTTGCATGATAAGAATTCAATTTCACCGTAGAACTTTGAAACCGAATCATTATATTTACTCTTTTAAATAAAAAGTGTAGAGTAGGTCGTTGAGGCTGAAACCCACAGCTACGCAATTAAACAAGAATAGATATATGGTCTCCAACAAAAAGCGTCTATCCCTAATGAAAGGCTCATACCGTGTATAGTGTTGACAGTATTATATATATCGAACAAAAACAAAAACAACAATTTTTCAAGACAGAAAAAACATGATTTGACAGCATTAAACATTTAAACGATTTCTATCCATTGTCATTCACGTTCAAATGTGGCGGAATTACATTAGTTTTACGAGTATGCCACTTCAAGAAGTTCTGCATTTTACCTCGTCTGGGTTAAAACACATTTGAATTTCTACACTTACGGTTCCCTCAGGCATGTAAGCATATTATAAAGAGAAAAAAATTTGGTGTATTCCAGATGCACGTATTTTATGCTTTTGTCGTCTTCATTCATTAAACACATTTTTCTAACGTTTATTGCGCTCAAAAGCATTACACAAAAGGCTATACACATTAAATTCTTCAGAAACAATGCGTTTTATCCAATCCTTTTAATTCTAAACCAAGAATTATATAAATCTAAAAAAAGGTATTTGCTTTTTTCTTCTTTAAAAATCACCTTTCGTGGAACCCCAGCATTACATTCGATATATGATCGCGCATGAATATATCACATTGAAATCGATACAGGGTTTACGAAAGAGATTTTGGCAGCATCGTCTGTTGAAGAGAGAATTTCTTACGGATCAATCACATTCGAGTATCTGTGTAAATGCATATCCCATAAGAGTTATACGGTGTTGACATGTATTTATTACAGGGATATCCAGTACCATGGCTCTGTTCGGACCATTTCTAGCCATTACCTTAGGTGGAGTGTTTGGTAAAATACCAGTTGATTTAAAGGGTAATGCATTTTCAGTTTGTATTTTATTTTTGTATTTTCTTTTGGATCTTTAAATTTATTGCTTCGACTATGGGGACTTTTGATATTGTTGGGTGGCTGATGTTTAGATGATAATATAGTCTTGGCCAATAGATTAAATCTACCGAAATCGCATCAACAGTCATTTACGCATTTGATTGGACGCTTTTTACCCTTCTGATTGCGCATATGAAAAAAGTGCTAACAAGATCGCTTTGTATGTCTAAAAGAGAACGTTGATTTGTAGATTTCTGTTATGTGTAATCTTTTCTGAAAGGGAAAAACAAACAAATGTTGTCTTGCTCTGCACTTGACGAATTGAAAACTAGACTACGTTAAAAGACACGTGTAATGATCACATAAGTTAAGATTTAAAACAATCAAAATAAAACAAACCAAACAAAACATAAAACTCTTCCAATAATGGTTAGATAGTTCCTGATATACAAGGAACATGCGGGTTTTTTTTTTTCATTTAGTAATAATTATAATTTGGTAACATATATTACTTTGTCTTTCTTTGTTTTTATGGACTTCCACGAAGTTTCAATTTTTCACAAACTGATTGATAAAAACAAATACAAAAGCATTTTAGGGTAAAAGTTTAGTTTTTGAGAACTAAAAAATAATTATTTTTATAGAAATTCTACAAATTTATAAATGTAAATCACTCTTGATTCCGGAACCAAGGTGCCAAACCATCTGGTCAATCCCAATGTCATGTAGTTTGAAAGATATAGTAATTCAAATATTGAATTACAAAAAAATGAATATTAGTTGTGCGTAGCTTTTTTTGGTTAAGTAAACGCTGCGCATTACATCGTCACAATGTAAAGTTTGAATAATGCAATACACGCTTCTTCTCAAAACTACTCTTGCATCTGTACCTTTTCAGTCACTATAACTTTGAAGTACTGTAAACGTATCTAAATAATGTTGTATTGTTTCAGTACTTCAAGATCATTGTACTATTTCAGTAGGTTAATTTCACAGAACTTGAGTTGTATAGGCTAAGTTAAGCTTCCAAGTTGAAAATAATACTATAGTTTATACATTTTAGTACATACATGTATAAGGTACACAGACCATTTATACAAGTCCAGAACTTTCAGCAATATTTCATATTATATGAATGTACCAACGATGTACTTTATATTAATTGTACCGTTGTAGCACTACACATCGTAAGCACAAAATTGATACTTCAAATCTGTCCTACAGATGTAGTACTGTAAAATTATGGTACTCAAATGGAATATTAGTGTTTAAGTACTACAGCAGTACGACATTAATAGGTAGAGTTTCAGTACTGTGAAATTATTGAACTTAAAAGTGTATGTGTAAAAGGAGCTGTGTATTGTATCATCATAAACATTTGTTTATCTATTTATGTTTTATTTTAGTTTCTTTGTACAGTTAGGTTGCTGTCTTACAACAACAACTTTTCATGCAGCTTTAAACAAAATGAAACAAAAAAGAGTTGTGTTTGTCCAATTTTCTTTATAGAAACAACAATGGAACCAACAGATCCGCGGTGGATTGGAGCATGGTGGATCGGCTTTTTGCTGTTTGGAGTCCTAGGGATTGCATCAGGCTTACCCCTCCTTTGTTGTCCAAGAAACATAGTCCCAGCTGATAATACAGATAAGGAAAAACAGAAAAATTTTGGCGATAATTCATGCTGTTCTGTTCTGAAAGGTCAAACAATTAAACTTGTTATTTTGATATTCAAGCAAAGAAATAAATTGATTGTTGTTTGCTAAAACGTCAAATGGCAAATAGTTAATGCATATTCAGGACGAGAACGAATTAACAAGGAGTATAATAGGTTTGAGATGCGATGTAGGGGTCGTCGACCCAGATAAATGGCTGGACATTTGGACTATCACTGAAAAATGAGGGTATGTTGGATAGGAAAAGACATTTTGCCTTGCAACATGCCACATACAGACCTCTCAGAGACTTGTTGCAAGGGTTCGTAGATGTTAGATCATGGCATTCTTTCTCCACAAGGCATCCCCATTTCGACCGGACGTGGCTGCGTATTCATAAATTTCACACAGCCAAACGGACGCCCTAAATGATTGTTTATAAAGTACTTTATAAAGAAAAAAGGTACTTCCAGCTTAACAGAGGTGGCCATGCTCCTTGACTTAATTGTATCTTCATTAATGTAACATGTCAGGTAGTCGAATGGTGAAGACTTTAATTCCCTACGACTATTCACTTCCGAGTTATGGCCGTTCTCCGGAACCTTCGATTGAGATTATATCCCTTACGAATTGGTCATAGCTTTTCGATTAAAAATTATCATAGTTGCATTGCAACTTACATAAAATATTTTCCATCATTTACCTTATCTCTAACTATTACGGTTTCCAATTTAGACCATCCATCAATTTTTAGATAGAAAAGTCACGACGGTTACCTTGACGTAGATCTTTTTTCAAAGTCGCACATCAAGTAGACCAATGGTGAAAATTAGAGCGTATAGCTATATTTCTGGAACCTTCGATAAGAATAATCTACCAAACTTAGGGTTCATAGCTTTTCAGCCAAAACATTACGTAGTATGTTAACAACTACACGACCTTCAACACAGAGCAAAACACATACCGTAAAGTAAGCTATAAAAGATCCCGGCATGACAAAACGTGAAACAATTAAAAAATGAAACCAATATCCGGATAAATGCTAATTATATATATATATATAAACACAATTAACAAAATAATTATGACAGACAGCAAATAACGAAACCCTCTGGATTACAGGCTCCTAACTTGAGACAGGCGCATTAAAACGTGACTGAAATACAAGTGTTTTATTTTGTTTAGTGTTTGAATGCTCGAAACCTCCCACATTTTTCACCTTTCGACAGGGTAAGCGTCTCCTGAAATGCATGCATCATCCAACATGCAAATCCACACTTAGTTATAAATATACAACATTTTGTAAATGACTTCATTCATTTTGTTCTTTTATAGATATTCCAATAGCTATATTTAGAATACTCCGAAGACCCGTTTACAGTTTGACGATATTAGGATTAGTATTTCAGCTGTTTGGGTTGATTGGAGGACTGTCATTTGGTCCTAAATACACAGAAAACCAATTCAATATCCCAACATGGAAGGCAAACATTATATTAGGTAGGTACTGAATAAGTCGACGTTTAAGATTCTAATGCATTCTGGGTAATGATATTCAAAAGCGCACAGCAAAACATTCTAATTGGTTATCATCATGCTCAACAAGGGTTAACCATCCAATGGCGTAACGTTATATTCATTTTGGTGAAGGAAATTCATTATCTTCTGATTATTGCGCATCTTGAACTAAATTAATCACAATATCGTAGGCTTTGATCTTTTGAATTAAGACACCAAATCTCATAAATCGATTCAGAAGACAAATCAAGGAAACAAACAAAAAATGATGGAATCGCATGAACTTAAAACGGTGGGTGGACAATGTAAGCGCAGGACTAAAATAACTGAGTGCAAATACAGTAGATCAACTAAGAGATAGTTGAATGGCAGATTGAAATACTGCTATACATTTTCCTATGATTTCCACGAGCAACTACCTTATGACGACAACTTAATTTTGGTTTTGAATTGAAAAGATATTGTGCATTTACATCCCGCCATTGTGTTATTGTGCTATGGTCAATTTTGAGTTCTTGTTTTTCATGTTTGCTTATGTACTTTGTTTATATGCCATTTTGTGTTTCTTTGTTGAAACAGTTATTTGTTTTTATAGTGATTAAGATTATATTACAATGTTGACTGCTGGACCCCAAATTTTGACGTTTTTACCTATTATGTCTGTATGTTTTGCTCACACATTGGTGTCAATATAATGAAATTCTATGCGACTGTCATACAAGTGAGAGGTTTAGCTAGCTAAAAAACCAGGTTTAATCCACCATTTTCTATATGAGGAAATTCCTATACCAAATCAGGAATATGACAGTTATTTTCCATTCGTTAGATGTGTTTGAGCTTTTGATTTTGCCATTTTATAAAGGACTTTCCGTTTTGAATTTCCCTTGGAGTTCTGTATTTTTGTTATTTCATTTTTTACTAGAAATATTTTAAAGTTCTGAATTCATTAAATGTAGTACATCATTTCGTTTCCTTGTTGTCTAACACATTTACGTACTTTTTTCTATTTTTTTTTAATCCTATCATCAGTTAACAATCTGCATGACAATTTGATTTTTTAATTCAAACACATTATTGTAGATGGTGCGTTTTCCCGCCGTAAAGTAATCATATTGTTTCTATACGATATATACAAATATTGATAAAACATAAAAATAAAAAACCAAATCATTGGAAAAGCTGTTGGAAAAAACTGAGCTCTGTATTTATTGATTATCAGGTATAAAAAGGAAATTGCAACGCGACTTTTAGGTCTGTCTGTTATAACAAATACATAAATGATTTACTTTAGACATATAATATGTTTTATGTCATGGAGACTACTTTTTACACAATGCATTGGAAAAAATTGCAAATAAAGTTTCCTTTATACACAATGTTCAGGAATAAAAATATTAATAACGTTTCCAATGGACATGCAAGTCTTTTTTCTTTTAATACAGAAGATATTAGTAAAAAAGGAACATATTGCTGAATTAATGGTTTTTGTTGATTTGTTTTTAAAAAACATACTTTTGTTGTTTTGTCGTTACGTCGTTTGTTGCTGTACATCATGTTTGTTTTTCGGTCATTGTTTTGTACATAAACCAGGCCGTTAGTTCTCTCGTTTGAATTGTTTTACATTTGTCATTTTGGGTCCTTTTATAGCTGACTATGCGGTATGGGTTTTTACTCATTGTTGACGGTGCTTACGTTGACCTATAGTTGTAGACTTCTATGTCATTTCGTCTCTAATGGAGATTTGTCTCATTGGCAATCATACCACATCTTCTTATTTTTTTATACTAAGTGATTTTTTATCTTGTTGTTTAAAATACATTTTAACCCGATTACTTAAGTTTTTTAAATAAACGAACATGCTGGATATGCTGTGTGAAAATAAATGAACATTCTGTGTGGAAATAAACAAACATGCTATGTGGAAATAATCGAGCATGTTGTGTGAACATAAAGGAATATGCTGTATGGAAATACACGAACATGATGTTTGGACATAAACGAGCATGCTGTGTGGAAATAAACGAACATGCTGTTTGGAAACATATTGACTGTGTAGGATAATAAACCTAATGGATTAGATATATTTTGTACTAAATTACAACAATTTACAAAGGTCCTTTCCCAACAATATAGATATACTAGTAAACCTGTGTCAGCAATAATCATGTTTTCAATTATCATCAAGTGAAAATAAAACTACAGAAATTGTATATCTTATATTAATCAATTATGGACTTTTGACGGATCAATACGTTATATATGGACCTGTTCAGATTATATTGACCGAGGACGGAGTCCATATGTAACTAACATATTGACAGAGTGAAAGTCCTTAATGTATATCCATTGTGTATTACATATGTAACAAATGTATTATGGAAATGGATTGTTGTGTGGCGGAGAGAAATTTTGAAGTACATAAATAGAAACATAGCGTCCATATAATTAAAAAAAAAAAGAATACAAGGCTACATTGAATGCGATTTGAATCACATGATTGTTATAACCAATGAAAATAGAAGAATGCTACACCATATATGTAATACATTTAGAGATGTAGTTCTTAGAAATCATATATCACATGTATGGGCAAACAATTAAGTGAAAGCTTTTAAAAGAATTAAAAATGAAAACTAAATACAGTTGCGATCATTTCAAATTTATAATTTCGTCTCCTTCATTTAACTGATTAAAAAATTCTTTTTATTTATTTCGTTAGATAGGGAATAGGGTAATATTGCTAAAAAAATAAAGTTCAATATACATATCAGTAAGAAAATTTAAACTAGTTTTTGTTTAGAGATTACATTCAAGGATATAGTGAAACGAATCATCAATTTCTTATCCGCAGATACAACATGATTCACCAACTAAACTTACACTTGATACAGCTGCAATTAATTACTGTAAACCAATGTATTTTCGTGGATATTTTATTTTGCATTTAGCCATTTTTGGACGACTTCGCGGCGATTTTTTTTGCGATTTTCTTTTTGTGATGACGTAAATATATAAGGGAAGGTCCAAGTTTTACATATTCGCGATGATTTACATACGCATATTTTTTATACTCGTGAAAGTCGCGAAAATAAGTTGGTTTACAGTAACTGCACCGATGACGAATTCTTGTACATGTAAACTATTAAGGAGGTTTTTAGATAACATTACATCTATTAAACATATAAATATATATATATATTAAAAAGGCGCTGAAAAGTTAGTGACAGCAACACTAGGTACTTTTCTGGGAGGTTATTTGACGTCACGACTTAAACTGCACAGACAAGGCTGTATAAGAATGTGTCTGGTTATTTCGGCAATATGTATATCACTCAACTCACTGAACTTCATATTTGGCTGTGAAAATCCTGAGATCATTGACAAAGGCAACAGGTGAGATTTAACTATATAGGAGGGTCTAGATGGGATTAACAGAATACAGACTAATGGGTCAAAACATCAAACATATAGAAATATAGGCCGATAAAGTATTGAGTCCAAAAACAAAGAATAGTGAATTATTGACAAAAAAATAAAATAAAAAAATAAAAAAAAAAAAACAACTAAGGAAAAGTGAAAAATCCGTGACCTCCCCTTTTACACCAAACACCTCATTAAGGTTTAATTACAGATTAAACATACATATTGACATGTTTAATTTAAGTTTGTGCAATCAAAAGCAATTTTTATTCGATATGAACTTCACAAATACGTTTAGGTCAACTTTGACTCCCACTTGAAATAATGTTCTTACATTTTCACCAAATGCTACAGGTTAAAAAGGCGCTTTGTCTTAGATTGATTTGTTTAAGGATATTTGACCATGCATAAGCATGTGATTATTTAGACATATCCGGATGTTGTATGCAAAGCAATCACGATTATTGGATTCTGAAAATATTGGGTTATGAACACTACTTCTTTGAGAAATACCCGGAACATTGTCCAAAATGAAAGTTGAGTTAATAGTTGATATTTGACCGCCACTTTGACTATGGACCTTAATAAACAATCATGCGGCAAATGTTACTCGATCACAAGCTAGTATTTAAATTCTTTCGCATTCTATATACTTTCAAACCTTTGTTATATTCAAGTTAATACACCTATTCTGAAAAGGTGTTCAGGCTGATGTTTAAATTAGACCAAACGTCGTGTATAAGGTCACCAAGACTGCATAAATTATTTCAAGAGGACCGAACCGACGTGTAATGTCTTTACTGGTTTATAAGTCTGGTATCTTTGGTGCGTTTTAACTTACTCACTATAGGGAAGTTTCTTTCCTGTAAATATTTACGTCAAAATGTTTTAGACGGACAAGTAAAGAAATCCAAAATAAATAATATTTGATAATTAGCAGTTTTTAATGAGGTATTTGTTGATATGGATGCAAAATGTTCCAAAAAAAAAAATGAGTTGAAGGATATATTGTATGTTCAATAAGTAGTTAATCTATGTCATTGTTGATCATACATTTCCCTTTCTTTCCATGATATGTTTATCGCATAGACATAGATATATTCAAGATAACTTTAGAATGAATTGTTTGTATCGTTGAAATCAGGCATGGGGAAAATTACATTGCAATGTAATGCATTACATTACAATTACTTAAACAAAACCAGCATTATATTACAATTACAATTACATGTATTCTGGAAAGTAATACATTAAATTACAATTACTTTACCAAAGTAATGCATTATCTTACACATAACATTTTATTATCAGAAAAAACATACATAAAACGTTGTATACTGCAATCTTGGTAACTATTAAATAGATATTATAAAAATCCTTTCATTGCCCTATAGACCAAATGACAGCAGTCAAACGAATGTGATTAGCTTCCTGAAGGTTATCCTACAATTTTTTACAATCATTCTTGGCCTTAATCTGTATCAATTTAGATGAGAGATGTTTCCGGATTGGAACTTGAAAGTTTGGGTTAAGATTTTCTAAAAAAAATTTAAAATTTTGCTTTCAACTGTTGTAAATAGAAGTAAATCACTTCTACCAATATACTCGAAAAGTGAATCTATGGCTTTGTTTTGCTTTGGGTCATTTAATTGATAATTCTGAATACTAGATGAATTACAAAGTTTGCCAAGGTTGATAGTTCTTCTGGGTCAGGCTTTTAAATATCGAAGTATACATCTCTGTGTTTTCTCACAAAAGAAATAACAGAAATGTTTTAAGGAATTTATTCTACCATTATGTTTTTTTGAATTATATATTGTTAACTTAATCTCAATGTTAATTAATTACTTTAAAATCACAAATTCACTTGTCAAAAGATAGGAATTGATTGGTATACAAACTAATTAGTGGTTTTTGTCAGGTGTCAATTATCAAATCATTCAATTTATTTCTTTCATGTTTAAATATCATGTATTTGTTTTTCAATGACTATAATGGTATATTAAAATGACTACAAGTAAAAAACAATTTTACTTTTGTATGTTTAAAAATAGATCTGTTTTAATTATTAGTATAAATGTTTTAGTATTAAGATAAGATGAAGAAAATTATAAGTTTTACAACAGTTCAAATTTACACTTGTTGTTAATCCTTTAACTAGACATTGATTTGTGTTTAATTTTCCTATTTCCTTAAAAGAAAGAATACAACAGTAGTACTTATTATCCCTGAAACTTGTTGCAATAAATAGCACTACCAGACAAGAAGTAATGCTCTATAATGCCATGTAATGCATAAATGGCATGCATTTTTGCGAATGTAATGCATTACATTACAATTACATGTAATGCAAAAAATGTGGGCATTACACATTTCATGCATTACTCGGGAAAATGTAATGCATTACAGGGCATTACAATTACAAATTAGCATTGCCCCATGCCTGGTTGAAATAGACTTTTTTTTCGATATTTTATTTCCGCAATATTGCCATAGTAGATTTGAATGAATTGATACTTTATACAATTTTTATTCTGGTCTATAAATACACTCATCATAGATAATATCCTTGACATGTGTAGCTCTTCCAAATACTAGTACTGAAAACTACACTAAGTAAAACAATATTAGAGAATATTAGATACTCTAAAAGGTTTTATCGTGACAAGAACGAGATATCTATCATGATAGATACTATAAAGATAACTCTTTTCTTGTAATGTCCATTTTGATTCAGTTAAGCCATTTCAATTGATATTTTATAGTGTGTCCTCTGTGTTGTGATGTTACACTATTGTTTCAGATAAGTGTGAAGGTTTGGTACCATTGAAACGTTTAAACCCGCTGCAATTGTTTGCCTGATGTTCAGTAGTTGTCGTTTGTTGATGTGGTTCATAAGTGTTTCTCGTTTCTCGTTTTTTATATAGATTATACCTTTGGTTTTCCTGTTTGAATGGTTTTACACCATGTTCGGTGTGAGCCAAGGCTCCGTGTTGAAGACCGTACTTTGACCTATATTGGCTTACTTTTATAAATTTTGACCTGGATGGAGAGTTGTCTCATTGGCACTCATACCACATCTTCTTATATCTATATAGCTCAAAACGTTTCTACACTCTCTTGTTGTCCAATATGTAGGATTCAGGGTTCCTGAAGAAGTTTAATTCAGAAAACGTTTCGGACGTACGCAATTTATATAAGATTATTATTCAATTTTTTTTGAACAAAAGAACATTTGCCTATCATCACAAGAAAAATGCATCTTTACTCTGTATAGTAATAATGAGCACAGATTGTATTTCTTTATAGTTCACCACAAGGTTGTCAATGTGAAGGTTTACAGTTTATGGCAGTATGTGATGGGATCGGGAAAACATTTTATTCGCCGTGTCATGCTGGATGTACGAGCATGATTTCTAATGTAAGTGACAAACGTAAGGTAGAGTTTCATGGCATTGCATTATATTTATCATGGTAACAATCAAACACATTCAACATGTCCAAGACGTAATTTTCATTATAAATATGTACATACATTGCTCAGTCTTTAGTTTTCCATGTTGTGTTTATAATGTATACCGTTTGTCTTTTGGTCTTTTTCTTTTTTTGCCATGGAGTTGTCAGTTAATTTCGACTTGTGAGTTTGAATGTCCCTTTGGTATCTTTCGCCTCTTTTACAACTATCTAGGTTTGCACAATAAAAGATAAAGAAACAACTTTTAAGCCCTTTTCAATTAGAAATAGGTAAAGTTTGTCCATAGATTCTATTTGTTCATTTGTCTGTAATATATTTTCAATCATATCTATCAACAGATGAATTATATTATTTGTGTCTAATACGTTTATACGTACTAAATCTTCAATTAACGCTAGCAAAAAGTGTAATATATCAATTGTGTCCCATGCGTACGTTTATCCGTATTTATCCGATTAAACCAATGCTAGCAGTATGTGGAGTGTTTAAGTTATACCAATTTGTTTTTATTTAAACCAATTTGTTTGTTTTTCCGAACTCAATCTTCTTTCAACTCTAGCAATAGAAGGAATATGTCAATTGTGTCCATTTGTTGTTTGCCAATACTAAATTTTCAATGTACTTTAAAAATATCTGGAGATTATCTATTGTTTCCACTTGTTATTTTGTCCGTACTAAATCTTCAATTAACTTTAACAATATATGGAAAATATGAATTGTTAATAGATATAAGAAGATGTGGTATGAGTGCCAATGAGACAACTCTCCGTCCATGTTGTGTCCATTTGTCAATTTGTTCGTTTGTCCGTATTGAATCTTCAACTAACTCTAGCAATATGTTCAAAATATCATATGTGTCGATGTGTTTGTTTGTTTGAACTTACCATTCAATTAACGCTAAAATAGGTAGATCTCTATTGATTGTGTTAATTTATTCGTTCGTCGGTACTATGTATTAAAAAAACTGTAGGAATTGAAGGAGTATTAATTGTGTTCATTCTATCTTTTTGCACACTAAATCGCCAATGAATATAACTATTGGAGGAGCATTTGTATGCTTGTATTCAATTTTCAATCAATTCGAGCAATTGGTGTTGTTTATCAACTGTTTTCATACGTTTGTTTGTTTGTCCTGAATCTTCAATCAATACTAAGAATAGATGGACGTTTATCAATTTCGTCCATTTGTTTGTTTGTCCATAGAAGAGGCTGCGTATACCAAGGGGACATTAAAAACTCGTAAATCGTCAATCAATGCTAAGAATAGGGTGGTTATATCAAACGAACCTATTTGTTTAGGTTTGCGTTTTTTTACTGTCAATCACATCTTACAATAGGAGTATGTCAAATGTCTCAAATTGTTCTTATTTCTTTAGTTTACATTTAATCACCGCTAGCAATAGATGGAATATATCAATTGAGTCCATGCGTTTGTGGGTCCTTATTAACCTTCCATCAACGTCACCGTTTAGAATAGGAGGTGTGTTTCTGATGTCGTTTTGTCTTGTGACATGTACGTAAAGTTTTATATGGTGATCGGATCGTACAAGAGCAGCTATAAAGCATCGATTTCGTTTCACAACCCAACAATCAATATTTTCTACAGTTACAATAAAACCATCTACGGTGATCTATATTATTCCTTGGTAAATACACAGCATCCAAGTATATATTTGCACTTCGACGTAACCATTAACGATGTAGCACAACCATCGCACATCAGCGTGATAGAAAAAAAAGACGCACGTCAGCGTGACTATTGCGGTAAGAGGTACTATCACCTTTCAGAGTCTCATATATACTAGTATATTCATCATATATGGCATAGACATAACATTTGGTAATGATAAAAATGAACAGTGGTTTTCGTTTGTTGGTAGGGTTCATTAGTGTTTCTCGTTTCTCGTTTTTTATAAAGATTAGACCGTTTGTTTTCCTCTTTGAATTGTTTTACACTAGTCTTTTTGGGACCCTTTATAACTTGCTGTTCGGTGTGAGCCAAGGCTCCGTGTTGAAGGCCGTACTTTGATCTATATTTTTTTTACTTTTTTCACATTGTGACTTGGATGAATAGTTGTTTCATTGGCACTCATACCACATCTTCTTATTTATATGTAAATTCGTTTTATGCAGATATATAGCAGCTGTAGTGAGGCAGCCAATGGAACAGTAACAATTGGTATTTGTCAGAGTAACTGTCCTTATTTGATACCATATGTAGTTGTGGAAGTTCTTCTCACATTTGTTGGAACTATGAGTGTAATTCCTGTCTCTCTTATCATTTTACGGTGAGTATTATGTTTATTATTTTATTTGGGGCGAGAACAAAATCAACTCATTAAAGCTAATAGGCTCATAATTTGGTATGCTAAACGCGAGTTTCATTTGTATCGTTTACATACAGAGGCTCTTGAATCATAACAGTTGGAAAGTCAAGTCAAATACGAAATTGAAAAGCATTAAAAACCGAAAATACTGACAAGTTGTGTCATTGCTCTTTAAATATTCTTAACTCCAACATCAGAGTTAAAGGGAGTAACCAAACATGTATGAAAAGTATGGAAGATTTAATGAATGATATATGGATCACCTTGATACACATGAAACGCATATACCGAATTCTATGATAATGTTTGAATTTGAGTAATTGCCCTTTGATTTAAGATTCTATATACAAATACTAATGTTGTTGTTTCTGATTTGATATCTTGCATAAAATGTATTTTAATAAAAACCAACTGACTTACATGTTCCTAACATCTATAAATAAAGGCAACAGTAGTATACCGCTGTTCAGTAGTCATAAATCGATTAAGCGAAAAAAATCCGGGTCACAAACCAAAACCGAGGGAAACACTTCCACTATAACAGTTCATATATAATAACAGAATGGCTTAATCGAATTTCAGTTTTACATATGTTGCATAAATATGTTTTTTTTTATTGTGCTCTGATATGTTTTCAAGTTACCTTTAAAGACAGGGTGAACATAATAAAGTACAAAAATATACTGTTTCACCGTGAATATAACACGTATATGGTGTAGAAATAAAGCTGACAAAAAAATGAAAAAAAAAGAAAATAAAAAAACCCCCACTTATGACCATATTTAATTTAAGCATGAAATCCAATTGAAATGGACACCACACACTGCATTGATCAACTTTGCATGAGGGATTTGCATCCTTATTTTAATCACAATATCATAACTGTAAGAATTGGAAATTAACACACATCATAATTATTTAAAATGAAACAATTTGAGTTTTGATTATTTTCTTTCAGGTCACTAGAAGATCAGGATAAGTCGATTGCTTTTGGAATGCAATCATTCATTTTATCACTTACAGGTAAATACTATTGTTACTGAAACACATTAGATGCATAGTGGATGTAAGAGTATTAAACGGAATGTGTTGAAAAATCAGATACTAGTAGTGTAGATTTACTTATTTTTGTGTGTACAAATTTTCGTGGATTGAGTAAAACCTGCATATTCGTGGATATTTGATTTCGCAGTTCTGCTAAATTCTGCATACAAGCCTATTTCCTCACGGATGAAAATTAATCAAAATTCCATCAGGCAATTACAAAAAAATCCAAAACGCCCCCAAAACCCCGAATAATTGGATATACAAACATGCCGTCATATGAAACGTAATGAATTTGTGAACAAAATATTTGGCTATAGCGATAAGATGATGCCTACCATCTTTACCAAATTCTTGCTCAAATGCAAGCACGGGGGCGGTCTCTTCCGATATAAAAGTTTATACCGTAACACCACTGTCTCAGGTTAGGGGGAGGGTTGGGATCCCGCTAACATGTTTACCCCCGCCACATTCTGTTTGTATGTGCCTGTTCCAAGTCAGGAGCCTGTAATTCAGTGGTTGTCGTTTGTTGATGTGTTACATATTTGTTTTTCGTTCAGATTTTGGTACGTAAATTAGGCCGTTAGTTTTCTCGTTTGAATTGTTTTACACATGTCATTTCGGGGCCTTTTATAGCTGACTATGCGGTATGGGCTTTGCTCAATGTTGAAGGCCGTATGGTGACCTATATTTGTTACTTTCTGTGTCATTTGGTCTCTTGTGAAGAGTTGTCTCATTGGCAATCATACCACATCTTCTTTTTTATATTTACCCAAACGTCCCATGCCGGTGATATGGGTAATGTTTTTTTTAAATGTCAAATATGTCAATGGGATGCAATTTCACGGAGTTAATATATCAATGGGTATAAATTTTCATTCTAACACCACGATGACATAATGCAGTGTTGTTCGGCCAAACCATTGATATCGATAATATCAATATATTAATATCGATACATGCAGTTATTGAGTTTATCTCATAAAACAATGCCATTGTGATGTTTTTCGAGAAAAAGGATCATAAGAAAAATCTATAAAATCTACGTGTACATGTTTTGATCAAATTAATAATAGCTGTGACGAACAATAAAAGAGCTACATGATAACTGAAAACAATAACAGAAATTATTTTATGTAAATTCACGATATAATATGTTTGTTACTAATTTCATCAGTTGTTTTATTACAAAGTATTTACAACTTACAACGTATACTATATAAAAATCACAAATACCAATTTTATGATTATGGTATATTTTTTAAAATATCTATTATACTTGAATTTTGGGATTCAGTAAACGTCCTTAATTGAATGTATAGTCCATATCATAATTGAGCTATGACTACCATATTATCGAAAACAGTACAGACAATCTAAAGAAATACCACAAAGAGTTAAAACAATATACGACTGTATGCTGTTCAGTAAGTTTATCATAAGTAACATTCTCTTTATCACGTGGTTAATTACTCAAGTATAAAAAGTAAAATAACAAAAATACCGAACTCCGAGGAAAATTCAAAACGAAAAGACCCTTTTTAAATGGCAAAATCAAAAGTTCAAACACATCAAACGAATGGAAAACAACTGTCATATTCCTGACTTGGTACAGGCATGGCCTTGTGTAGCAAATGGTGGATTAAACCTGGTTTTATAGCTAGCTAAACCTCTCACTTGTATGACAGCCGCATAAAGCTCCATTATATTGACAACAATGCGTGAACAAAACAAACAGACATAATAGGTAAAAATGTCAAAAATAGGGGAACAGCGTCACAGATTAATTCTTAACATCACTATTTGTTTTCTTTTAGTTTTCATCCCTGCACCGATAGTGTTTGGTTATTTATTTGACAGTGTATGTAAAGAATGGAGTACTTCCTGTGGAACAAAAGGAGCATGCGCATTGTATGACATTGAAGCTATGCGATACACATTGAACTCTGTTGAAGTTGGAGTAAGGTTGATAGTTTTCGTTCTGTACATATTCATATTTCATATTGCAAAAAGAGACGACTCAAAGAAAAAGAACTCTGAAAATGGGCATGGAATGAATAAAACAACAGTTATATAAGATGTTTCAATGTCTAGTTTATTTTGTTGTGGCTTTAAACATTTATTTATCCGTTTGTGTTTTTCATCATGACAGATGTTTTCGTATACCTTTAATCGTTAAGAGTTTTCTTAATATTGAATCTATAAGCATGTATATGTTAATTTAATTAATGTCCAGATAATATGTTTTAAAGACTGAGTTACAAAATTACCTAATTGCAAGGTAAAAAAAAAAAGGTGGAAATCCATAAAACCTGACTTTGGCCAGTAGAAGAATCTTTGTATCTTACCAGGGGATCGAAAAAAGAAGATAATTATATATAAAAAAAATATATAAAATAACATAAGTCAATACAGGAGAGAACATAGAGTGACAAGAAAAGTCAAAAGCAAAAGAAAAAGACTTCAAATGACCACAAAGAAAACTAATGACGGAGCAATACGAACCTTTCGTTTCATATGTTTAATGGGATTTGAAATTACTGTGGATTCATTATTATTCGTTTGATACCAATTTTCGTGGATTTCAAAGGCACATGTGAACCACGAAATTAAAAGGTTCAACGAATAACAAATTTTCTACAGGCTTGTATGCAGACTTCGGCAAAACCACGAAATTTAACATCCACGACATGTAAGTTTTCCTTAATCCACGAAAATTGGTACTCACTTAAATAAAAGAATCCACAGTGTGTTGTTGAGGTTTAATCATTTCCTATCTTGTTGCATCTGCTTTGACACCTTATATACATATATATATATATATATATATATAGTATTAAGAAGAATTGGAACACGTATACCAACATTTAACCATACATATACTGGTATGGTCTTAGCGAATGTATCACTATTTGAAATGACAAGAAGACAGGAGGACGTGATAGACTCGATAATGGCCAATAGAAACAACAAAACAAAATATTATTCCAACAGCTATAAAATAGTAGTTAATATTTTGTACTTGTGTACATGATATCAACATACCAGGATTGAACTTATTTGAAGTCGTTCATCGAAAGCAGCAAAACTAAGCTGTGTACTTTATTGAGGAGAAATCCGAATTATTCCATCCTTTTCCCGATATAAAAAAATAATGTAGGACTACCTTTACCTGTCACAATTAAGGACATTCGGAACACTACTATGTCTGTTTTATGATCCTTGGAATTTCAACTAAAGTTGCCGAACTGGATTTTCATTCTAGAAAAAACTAAATAACATACGCTGACCAACGATTGGTGTGTTGGGTTCTTTTTTATGTTTTCTATTTAGTGTGTAATTGACTGGTGTGTTTCTTGTCGTCGACTATCAATCATGTTTATATATAGATTAAAATGATTCACATTTAACTATCATTTATATCTTTAAATGTTTTTGCCACATTTGTGTTACTTCATGATGTAGTGTATCCTTGCTGTTCTTCAAGGAAGTACCGACTAAGCTGTTTCGAATGTATGGGTACGGAGAAAACTAATTTGGGAGTTAAAAATATATGGTGAAAGCATGCAAGGATCTATGGTAAAATCTTACGTCTACTCCTGCCTACAGTGTTTGATTTGTTGTGTAAACATTCTTAAATAATTAAGGATGAAAAGCTATGCGCTCGTAGGTATTTTGGACGCGCGAGAGGCCTTGAAACTAATTCAGTAGTTGACGTTTTGCCGTGCATGAAGTACAAATACATTGTAAAATGATTGGGTAAGTTTACATCAAGAATTTTGATGTATTTCATAAAATTCAAATTACTTTGTAAGACAGATGGAACTTATGGCGAACTTTAAAACTTCATCCCGACCTACACTATTATTAGAAAGTGTCTATCGACCAATCGTCAGTTTGTCATATAAGGTTCGTTCAAAATTTTTCCGCCAAAAAGTAGCCTCTCTATATGCCCATTAATGTCTATGCTCCGATTCACGATTTATTAAACACTGGAATGTGAAAGGGTGAAATAAATATATTCTAAGTTATTTTGTTTGAGATAGTTTATTAAGAATTATAATCATTTTTACTTGAAACCAAGTGCACATGTTCATTATGATCTGAACTTTTAAAATTGTATGTCACATTCGAATTTTGATCAAAATCCCACAGTTCACTGAATATAGTATGAACAGAGATTTTTGTTTTCAGGCATTCCTTTTCTTGTAATAAAGTAAAGAAAAATGTAGGATAAGGTCACATTGTAAGCCAATTGGCGCTAGGGCTACAAAGTTCAAAACAGCAAACACTGCTTAAAAAGTCTCATTTTGATATCTCATTAAACATATTATATATATTTAGAAATAATTAACAGCTTTACCCAATACGATACTTGTCTACAATATGTGTTTTATCAAAATGTTAATGCGTGATTAATATCTTTTTGTTTAAAGGTGTTGACCAAAAGTATGAAATGAATAGCCATTTAGGTCAAATACGTTAATGTTCAACACGTTTATGACGTCAAAGCAACATCCCAAGTTACATTTCTGTACTGAAATGTCTAAAATATATTAACCTGTTTATTTGACAATAAAATTAACATAATTTTAAATGTTTGAAAGAATTTACCAGTTTTACACTTTCAGAGGCTAAGAAAATGATATGGCTCTCATCATACTCCACCTTTGTTTTTCCCGATTCGTACAACAATCAGAGTGACCTCAAGTGTTTACGAGGTTGCCCGTTTAATTCCTCTCTAGAAATTCAGGCAAATAAACCGATTAAATATCAATCAGTTTCCAAAGCAACATGTCCTTCCTAGTGTACAAAACAGTCTCACTAGTTTCTTCTCACTATCAGCTAGTATTCTTACAATTACAAGAAATTGCTTTATAGTAATTTTTAAAGCTATGTTTTATTTATGCAAATCAGTCAGAACAGAACCTAGTATTACTTTCTAAAATTATGTATTTTGCAACACAAGAACTACAAGTGGAGTGAGACCAGGTTGTTGGACAAGGTGAGCGTCTTTTGCTAGGCATACTATGAAAATAGTTTCGTATCTCCGTAATATAGATTGAATTGGATTGACAATACTTAATTTGTTATCCGGGAAAAAATATCTAACAATTTTGATTAGGACTTATCTTTGATTAAAGAGAGATAACACATATTTAACTTAAATGAATTGCCGTATTGCAACTGAAATGGTATAACAGTATACGGGAGGTTACTAGGAAACATATTATAAATTAACGTTTTTTAATACCAACTCTCTTTGAAATTTAGCTTTTTTTAAGCTATTTAATAACCATGTTTTTACTTAAAACTTTTACTAAATTCTTTCATAGAAACAAAGATTTGATTATTAAATCTGGCTGGAAAACTTATTGAAAACTCGCATCCTAAATTTTACGGTGATATTGTACTAAAAGCGCGGAAATCACTATGTGATCCGTGTAAACTCATCGAACCTTTAAACAAATTTATTAGTAAAGGTTATCTTATCAATGTTGTAATTAGATCTTGGAATATTGTTTTCATTGGCACAAATATCGATTTTGTCATCAGCAAATTAAAACATAAATTAATTTGTATTTTTTTCAAACGGTGTTTTGGGATGTTTAAATACACAGCCACGTTCATTTTCTATATAGAGATTACTTTATCTATATATAGCATTATACATATTTAATAAAAGGTTAAATCCTAACTATCCTACTGCCTGTCGATACTTTTTTTTGGCCTTGCACAAGTCATGTCTTCTTTGACTGCCCATGACGTTAAAACACTAAATCCCTTGGATGTGTTTTAGTTGATTTTAGTCCCTGATTGTTGTATTTTATTTATTATTTGATTTTGGCTTTAAAGTAGCTTTCAGTAACTGCGAGTACTCTCAAATCGTATTTTCGTGTTAATTTGACCTGTTGATACAATTTTTAATGCATTTTTGTTATTTAATGTTTACTTATTTTGTGTTATATCTCGTCTCACTATTTTTAACATAAACCACGTTTGATAAGTATTTATATAATAAAAGAAAATATTTCCGTCCTCTATGTACTTCTTACAACAAAATTATTTTTCTTTTTCTGTGTACGTTATTTTATTTAACGGCTATTTGTCCAAGGTTGTAGTTGTCTTTCTAATATTGTTTTACATCACAACCCCTCTTTTATTAATTTTGTATTGACATTGTGTCATAGATCAAATTTATTCGTTCAGTGTATGTTTACTTGTTTTTGTTTATATGTCTTTTGATTGAGTTAAGCCATTTCAATTGATATTTTATAGCGTGTCTTTCTATGTTGTGATGTTACACTATAATTTCAGGTTAGGGTGAAGGTTGGCGCCTTTTGAAACGTTTAAATCCGCTGCATTTGTTTGCACCTGTCCTAAGTCAGGAACCTGTTGTTTGGTGGTTGTCGTTTGTTGATGTGTTCATAAGTGTTTCTCGTTTCTCGTTTTTTATATAGATTAGACCGTTGGTTTTCCTGTTTGAAAGGTTTTACACTAGTCATATTTGGGGCCCTGTATAGCTTACTGTTCGGTAAAAGCCAAGACTCCGTGTTGAAGGTCGTACTTTGTATTGGTTTACTTTTACAAATTGTGACTTGGATGGAGAGTTGCCTCATTGGCACTCATACCACATCTTCTCATATCTTTTTACAGAATTCTGGACCTTTTTAGATATATCGTGTAAGCATCCAATTGAAATATGATCATTTGTGGCGACCATAACTCGATGATACATACTCATGTATAATTATTAAATTTAATCAATAATCTCTTTAATCTTATTGGTTAACCCTGTCATTCTAACGTAAGTGATCTAAAGCATCAAAAACAATCTTGTGCTTAAAAAGCACGATAATTCGTAATTTTTATCCGTATTGGGTTGCACTAAAGGATGTACTTAGGTGAAATTAAAAAAATCTAGAATTTAAAATAGATACCATAAGTCAGAAGAGTCTATTAGTTAAGGAACAAAATTAGCTAAAATGTTGATAGGTTATGGAACTCCTTTTTCGAGATATTTGATATTTTTAAAATGGAGGGAAAAGGCTGACTAGGACTTTTACCTTATAGTTTGCATTGACATTATTTGGGTCTCAAATCGTATGAAAAGAAAGCTAGAATCTG